TATGCGACTCTTACGTTTGTCAAATTTTACGTGTTTGTTGTTTTTTTTTTATCGTGAATCTCATGCTAATGGGCGTTGGCGCAAATTACTAAAGGAAAACCCAACTCGCAGAGATGAAAAGATGTATACAGGACGTTTTCAAAGAGTGGAGAGTTTTATTTTTTAGGTAGGGATGTGCCCATGTATATCATGTGGTTTTATGCAGTAACATGGTAAAAATGAGCCTCTTGACTGGTTGGCCACCCCTGCCCTAGAAAATGAAGCGTTTGACATAGTTGTTGCTGTTTGCTTTCTTTATTGGAGGTATATTGTCAAACATTTTACAAGCTCTTGCTTAAATGTTTCCATTTACAGAGAGAAAAAAATTACAACAGTGAAAACAATGACAAAGCTCAGCAGAGAACTTGATTAAAGCCCCCCCGGTTTGAAAGGCATCGAAGTCCCAGTTTGGACACACATGCAAACACAACAAAGAAAGACACCTGCTGTTACACACTTCAGTAGCTACAATACACACACGGCTTTCAACTGGCTTGTTAGTTAGTTGAGCTCTTTTGTTTGTTTGTTTTTTTTTTTGTTTTTTTTTTTCAGTTGGCCACACCGTGGCGTGTGGGACACCCGAATATGTGCAATGATAAAGTGAGAGGTTGAAGTAACGCAGACTGTTAATTCGAACACACGGAACGTCGGTACAGATGCGAAGCTACCACATAACTTACTTCATGTCTACTGCAGTCTCTCCGATCTCTGAACGCTGGGTCGAGTGCAGGTCTCTTAAATATTTTCACGATTAAATACATCATATTGCTGCTGTTTAAATACATCACTTTTTGTTCCTTTTAAGTTAGAATTGCCATTTCTATTTTCTGTTCGCGATCGCGTGGAATCACAAGGCAACCATCATCGGGCTTTTCTTTACGTGCGCAAAGAAAATGTACAAAAGTCTCTCTCTCTCAATCTCTTTTTAAATAATAGTGACAGCTACTACATACGAACAATGGCGTCGTAGCTCCTTAGCATAATTGTTTTAAATAGCTTGTGATGCAGGAGTGCACGTAGGGCAAGAGTCTGTCAACGATGGTGGGACAACAGATCTGGCCTGTTGTAGAGCTTATCGGGCAGGAACTACACTTTCACACAAAGTTAAGGTTGCATGCTGGTGCCTTTGTCGTATTGCTTTCGCCGTCGGTCATCAGTACGTCCACCAGGAAGACACGGATTTGTGACAAGTCCAGTCCCGCTCGTGGGGTTAATTTAATCTGTCCTCTACAAAGCTGAATGCATTAGCTGGTTGATCACGTTGGAGTGGGAGAAGCAGCCACGACTGCTGAAGCTTTTCATGAGACAACGAGCAGCTTGTCGCGTGACGCTGCAGGCAACGGTTTCTTTTCTGAATGTGAACGTAAATTTAGCGAAAAACTGGCAGTCTGCGTTGTCTCGTGACCCAGGATTCTCTCTCTCTGCTACGACAGTTTCCCGCAGTTCATTAAGATCCTTTAGCTGCATTTCTTTTCACTCTCCTATCTCCCTTTCACGCCACCTACTGTTTCCTTCTCAAACTGCGACAAACCGTACGTCTCATCACTTAATGAATGAATTTCTTTGACAGTCTCTTGTCTTCCACTTTCTCCTTCAACGACAACCTACAGTAGAGGGCGCACTACCGGCAGCCGCAGCCCTCCCCCACCATGTTCCGGTAGTTCCTCAACAACACCCGGTCCTGAAG